TCCCGTTCCATCCCGTCTTGTAAAATGGAGGCCGATATCAGAGCCGCTATTCCGGATATCGATCCCGTTGTCTCCGAATATTCGGTAGGCTATCTTAGACATGCATCCACCGCGTGGGTCGGCGACGAGGAATCATCTGGTCTGTCTCCGCTAGCCGAGGCCGCTGCTGCTATCACTGAGCTCCTTCTGTCCGCTTCCGGTGATTCGGCTGGGTCCAACCAGGACAAGATTCGATCCATAGTCTCTAAGTGGGTTGACAAGTATGAGGAAGTCAACAGCAGCAATGGTGAGAGACGGGGACCGTCCGCCGTGAAGCGGCTAGACCAGGCCATCCAGGTCGGTGCTCAGCGAAACATGTCCTCGACTCTAGCTGTCGCTACCGGGAGTGTTGACCTTGAATCCGCCAACGCTCGTAAGGTGGAATCCAAGGTTGACCGGAAGAAGCTTGAGAAGGCAGAGCGCAAAATCGCCGCCAAGCAGAGCAAGAAGCAGTTCAAGACGGTTGAGTATGAAGCGTCTAAACTGATTAACCAAGCCGAGGATGCTCAGAGCTATGAGGAGTTTTACATGGCTGTCAACCCCTTACAGCTTGGTTCTGGCAGCGGCGCTGGCAAAACGAAGGATATCAAAATCGAAAATATTGATGTCGGCATTGGTGGTACCCGTATCTTGGCGGATACGGACTTAACATTGGCATATGGACACCGTTACGGTTTGGTTGGTCACAACGGTGTTGGTAAATCCACGCTGCTCAGAGCGCTCTCAAGACGAGAGTTACCAGTGCCTACGCACATTTCTATTCTTCACGTCGAACAAGAGGTATGTCACTCATCTCAGCCGACTAACACGTCCTATATGCTAATACACGCTAGATCACCGGTGATGACACATCCGCCTTACAGGCCGTCTTAGATGCCGATGTTTGGCGAAAGGTGTTGCTCAAAGAGCAAACAGTACGTTGTCCCTTCCATGACTCTAGTAGCGGTTACTAATATTTTTGTTTCTAGGAGATAACAGCTCGTCTTGCCGAAATCGAGTCACAACGATCGTCTATGGCAGATACTGCCGCAGATGCTACGAAGCTAGACAATGACAGAGAAGCGCTTGACCAGAAGTTGGGAGATATCCAGTCCAAGTTGGCCGAGATGGAGTCAGACAAGGCAGAATCCAGAGCTGCTAGTATCCTAGCCGGTCTGGGCTTCTCCCCTGAACGGCAGCAGTTCGCAACCAAGACGTTCTCCGGTGGTTGGCGTATGCGTCTGGCCCTTGCTAGAGCCCTTTTCTGCGAGCCTGATCTACTACTTCTCGACGAACCGTCCAACATGTTGGACGTCCCCTCGATTACTTTCCTTTCCAACTACCTACTCACATACCCGAGCACCGTCTTAGTAGTTAGTCACGACAGGGCTTTCCTAAACGAAGTCGCGACAGATATCATACACCAGCACTCGATGAGGCTCGATTACTACAGGGGAGCCAACTTCGAATCTTTCTACGCCACCCGAGAGGAGCGTAAGAAGACCGCAAAGCGAGAGTACGAAAACAACGTGGCGCAGCGCGCCCATCTGCAGGCCTTCATCGACAAGTTCCGATATAACGCTGGCAAGGCTGCCGAAGCACAGTCGCGTATCAAGAAGCTGGAGCGCATGCCTATTCTCGAACCGCCAGAGACAGAATACAGTGTCAAGTTCCGGTTCCCAGAGGTGGAGAAGCTTTCGCCGCCAATCGTGCAAATGTCAGGGGTTACGTTCGGATACAGCGAAGACAAGATCCTACTACGAAACGTCGATTTGGACGTACAACTAGATTCACGAATCGGTATCGTGGGACCCAACGGTGCGGGTAAAACTACAATCTTAAAATTGCTCATTGGCAAGTTATCGGCAACCAAGGGTCTCATCCAGCAGAACTCGCGCCTGCGCATCGGTTTCTTCGCGCAGCACCACGTCGACGCGCTCGACCTGACCATGAGCGCCGTCAGCTTCATGGCTAAGGAGTACCCCGGTCGTACGGACGAGGAGTACCGCCGGACGCTCGGCGCGTTTGGCATTACGGGCACAACCGGCCTGCAGAAGATGGCAGTTCTCTCCGGAGGTCAGAAGTCGAGGGTTGCGTTCGCGTGTCTGGCCCTCACGCAGCCGCACATTCTCGTTCTCGACGAACCGTCTAACCATCTTGATATCGAGGCCATGGACGCCTTGTCCGAGGCGCTGCGCGAGTTCCAAGGAGGCGTGCTGATGGTTTCCCACGACGTGACCATGTTGCAGACGGTGTGTACGAGCTTGTGGGTTTGTGAGAACGGGACGGTTTGGAAGTTCCCTGGAGATGTCCAGGCGTATAAGAAGAGGATTGCGGCGCAGGCGGATGCGGCTGGTGTGGTTAAGGCGCATTAGGGGGTTGTTGAATAGGATGGGGGGGTATGTAAGGGGTATAGGTTAGGTAGATAGGTACCTAGGTATATGTGAATGAGATATGATTAAGATGTTGAAATATCATTGTATGCTTGACTATCGGTATTTCTTATGGTGTTGGCGATTCCGGGATGAAGATGGTGTAGTCGTCTGTCCATTTATAGGTATATGTGGTCTTTTATAACTTAGGTGTATAGGAGATGGTAAGTATGCTTACCTACCTTTATATCCAGGAAGAAGCAGTCAACTTACAAAAACATATATACCTTAGGTACTATTAAGATCTCCGTTAGCTAGCCCACCTCCGACGACATTTAGGAGATAGTCTTGTATAAGTTCTTAGAGCAATAATAGGAGATTCCAGATCATTATTAAACGAGGAGTACAGACCGGTTTCCTTTTTCATCCTTCCCGTAGTATTGCTTGTGATATACCTGCTAGGAACGCCCTTCCCAATCATAAAGGTATTATGATTCAGACGCGAGGGTACCTATGTATGCATCACCCAGTCTAAGATACCGAAATAAGGTAAGTAGAAACATATTAAAGTACAGAAATAAATAGGGTTATCCGTTTACTTGAGTATACAATATCTAGACTACGAAGGGGTGAAGCTTAGAAGTATTTGGCATATAGAGAGATAGGAGCGTCGTAGGTATTAGCAACAATATATTCCTCTTGTCACGTTTCTACCTCTACCTCAGCATAGCAAGCCTAACCACATCCCAAGCTCTAGCGCAGCAGTCAACAATCACCTGCACACACCTGAGCAACACCCGTCACCAACCTCGCCGTCTCCAGGCAACCAACCAACCAACCAACCACCTGCACCAACCAGTACGTACCGACACACACACAAACCCGCAGCAACCTTAAATAGCTAATTAACAGACCCCTCAATCACTTCCCGACCATTCAGATACGCTATCCAACAAGGCCGTGGCTTAGTGGACAAATGGCATGACGGTTGTAGATAAAATCCGCTCGCCGGGTTTTTCGATGGCGTCTGGGGTTCGAGCATGGCGCAGGGCGGCAAGATAGGCCTTCTTGCAATGCAAATGCGCTGGGCTTGATTCCTTGGAGCCTGCTTTTTTTGTCTTTTTTGTTGTTTTATTGTTTTTTTAATTTTCTTTTTTAGTTATCTTTTTTTTTCAGTCGCGTTCGAATCCCAGTGTGTCCGCTTCCGGAAAAGAAATAAATAGAATGAAATCAATATCTTGTCTATTTTACGGCTTACTTTCTGGCTTTTCTGAAACCGTACATAATGAATAATACGATGGTTCTTGTTTACTGTTTTTAGATGGGAAACTCCAGTTCCTTGTTTAACTGATTCTGCGTCATCTGAAGGGGTCAGTCTGATCCAGACAATAATGTAGCCGCAACGCCCATCTTCTCCAGGCACTTGACTTCTTAAAAACTCTGGACATCCTTCTCACTGATAATATCGACATGGGGTAGTCATACTGTATAAAGACCAATGTGGGTATCATATTATATAAGAGTCAAGCGTTCTAGGGGGTGGTTAATGCGGATATGACACTCCTGGGTCATATCTGGAATCATAGAACCATAGCTAGGAAATTCCTCTGATGTTAACATCATTGGCGCGAGACTTGAAGGAAACTGCAATCTCAACTAACGTTATAGCTATAGTATAACTGTCATACTATAACTTAACCTCTGTCCACCTTACTACCTGGCTACCTAGGTAGGCTAGGAGATGGCCTCAGAAAGAGTACTTACCCATGATCATCTTTCGTGACCTTGTTATTTAAACTTGTATATGGCCAATTATCTGTTTAGGTGGGCCAAAGCTATCGATATAATGTCTTTCACGTCTTTTTAACACCCTGTATCTGTACCTACTTGTAGTATATTTCGGTCCATCTCATCTTAGCAAACCCAACCACAAACCGGCAGCATGACCACAGAATAGAGCAAAAAAAAGCAAATAACCTATTTGGACGATTACTAGTCACACACTGCTCACCAAAGCGAATGAATATACACCTTATATACTTATTTTGCTTCTGTTTCCGCAAGAAGACTATACTACAACTTGTTCGGAGGGCATACGTACCTAGTAAGCAAACACTACGCGCCTGGGCATACAAGTATAAAATAAGCAACCGAAGTTAAGGAAACGTTACCTATCATCTGAGACCGATCGATACATAGATCAATACGACGTAGAACGAATCACTATGGTACGGGATGTACTGGTTAACTTCACTTGAAAGGACGTAATGAATACCTTATATGCTGAACTGGCTGTATTGATTATCTGGCTCAAAAAAACCCAATGGGAAGTGGCGGAGACTATCTGACTATTGAAAACAGACACTAGGAAATACCGGCCACCTGTTTTAACTCGTGCCTCAACTGAGGGAACCCCAAAAATATGCTTGGAAATGACACGTAAGAACTCACTATAATATATAACCACGGCAGATGGCGTCTTATCTGATTGCACCGATAGTATAAACTTGATACTGCTGCCTCGCGGAACGCTGAAAGTGCATGGGTCGCCATTATTGGGCTACCCTCCAGTTCGATTCGTGCAACACACATCCCATAATTTTACCAATATCAACCAGTTTGAGATTCTAGTGCTTCGCATCTCCTCTTCCAAAAATCACGCTCTTTCTCAAGATCAGCGATCTTCGCTTCAAGTTCCTCAAATCGAATCGCTTTACGCTCACGAGACTTACGAGCTGCCAGTGTGTTTCGCGCTCGCTTCATGGCATTCAAATCGCTCGGATCATCAACTATGATAGGAGGAAGTGGTTTGTCTCGTCGACGAGGGTTCACACCAGACACTGAAGAGTGCTTGGCATGATTCCCGGACGACGGGGAGTTACCAGATTTGCGTCGAGGCTTAGAAACGGGTTCCGCCGCCTCCAGCTCTTCGGACTGCTGTGCCGGTGACGATTCGTCAGCGGTAGAGGCAGCATTGACAACTGTCTTATCCTCGGGAAACAAAGAAGTCCATGGCCTACCAAAGCTATGGTCGAAATCCGGGGACAGTTCAAAATCATGATCTTGAAACTCAGGAGACCCCTCATACATGGAAGGTGACGTTAAGTTCGTGATCGCGGTGGAGTTCGGGGCGGACGTGGTGGGGTCGAGGAATAAGTCTTGGGGTGAAATGGTCCCCATGGTGCTAGAGGCCGAGCTCACACCCACGTCGTACCCGGGAATTCCAGGGGAAGAGTAGGCAGCTGTTGGCCCCTGGAAGACCGCGAGGTCTTCAAAGCTAAGAGCGTCTGGGTTGTGTAAGATAGGAATGCAATTAGAGAAAGAGGTTGAGTAATTACCTTGAAGATCCATCCTGGCCGCCTGCTGATTACCACCGCCCTGCGTGAAAAGAGGTACAGGCGGGCGAGCAGCACGATTTTGGTTCGCCGCAGCGGTAGGGGGTAAAGCAGAAATTGATGCGCAATACTGTTGTAGGGTCTGATTTTGCACAGGAAAATTAAACTGATTGGTAAATGCCGTAGAGGAAGAAGTCTGATGTCCTGTTGCCCGGATAATCTGAGCCACCCGCTGGTTCTGTATCGAATTCTGTACTGAAGGTGAAGAACCGTTTGTGATATGCGGAGAGCGGCCAGGGTTGACGTTACGAGATCCGAAGGCTGATACTGCTACTGAGGCAGGCAAGGATACAGAGCGGTTAACGTTCTGTCTCTGAGGCGGGGGTTGATCGAACAAGACGAAATCCTGTTGCGGTGGTGGGAAGTTGGATTGCGCGGAATGTGCCGGCAGGCTCGGGGAACTGGAGGGAGGCCATGTTTGCTGTTGAGAAGCCGTGGTGAAGACTAAAGAGTCTTGCTGGGGAATGTTGGCGGTGGCGAGCGAACTCGGAGAGCTGTGAATAGCTTCGTTTGAGTTCAGTTCTTCCTGGAAAGGGAGAGCTGAGAAGAAGGGTTGAGTGGGGAGATAATTGTTATTCTTTGGAGACGGAATCTTGACTGTTGCCTACGGGGAGCACATGAGAAAGAGAAAAGACACGAGGTCTGGTTTGCTTAGCGCATGTTGATGAATGCCTTGATGTCTGCTTATGATATGGTTCTGTAATTGTATGGAGGGGGATGTAGAATAAGAAGAGGGGACAAAACAAAAAAGATTCGTGCCTGAATTTCGGTGGGAGAGGTGAGACTTTAGTAATTTTTCAGGCAACAATCCCTTAGTAGCAACTTCGCAACTTCGCAACTTTGGCAAAAAACGGGGAGGGGCGCAGGGGGGGCATTAGCGTTATAACTTGTTAGGCGTACGCGTGGGTATGTTTCTGGAGCCAAGAGTACCCGTGTGCGGCTAGTTAGGTCTGACGGTCACTTGCTAACCACTAACAATTTTGATAGCAAGCGACTTCTAGGGCAAGCTTAACGGGTGAAACGCATGTTCAGTTAGGAAAGAACAAAATACGTTCGCTTGAGAGTGTGTGACTCATACCTGATGGATCTATAATTCTGTTCTGCGCTAACGACCCTTGCCTCCCAATGTTCCTCCGTCGACTAGCGCACAGCCTTCTTCCGTATTTCCTGCTGTAACTACTTTTTTAGTCTGTTCCATGTAGATACACTATGTATGAACCTTGTCGCAACTGATGGAAGTTGAAGTAGGAAAAAAAAAAAACAATTTGCAACGGAAGCAACGGTATTATGCAGCAGAAAGTACCTAAAGTAGGTGCTTCTATATTTCTGGCTACGGTGTCGTAGTTGCGCGCGCAATTCGAATATACGTCGAAATGTATTATGCAACTTGACAAAAAAAAGTTTAACTGCGACTAGTTCCAAGCCGTTGCGGACTTGGGAGATGCTAACACCGTTTTTAGTTCTTAATTTAAAACTTTGGATCTCTCTGTCCGTCCTGCCGGTTTCTGGGGCTGCATCGCCAAGACTCTAAACCATTTAAAGCCAAGGCTTGTGACGGATTACGATATTCCCATTATTGTCCGTTCGCTCCTACATATCGCAAATGAACTCTATTGGCTCTTTGGTTTGTCGGTTAGCCAAATGAGGAAAAGTCTTCTAAATCTTCTTGACCATAGGAAGTAGAGATTATCCTCTTGTCTTCCTCGTGATATTCAGCAACGACAAAATGCCTCGAGAAACCCGCTTTACGCACAATGTAGTGCGTACGTATCCATATCAGATGTGACATTTAAATGGGCCTGGAATGGAGATATTGGATGGCGACGTCGAGCTAAACGCTTAGCTACATTTTAATTACGAGTCTTTGAACTCTGCAGACTGCCAGTATGTTACATACAAGTCGGGCATCCTTCGGTCTCGAACTCGATTTTACGATTGTTCATTACGGAAGTCCCCATCAAAAGTTTTGTCCATAGGCCAGCCCTTGTTAGCTTTTGACTAGCTTTGACAGGGCTTGGCAACAGCTGTAGGTCATCGAGCGCATGTACTATCCATAATACACTACTTTCACTTATACATAATAACTCAAAATCTTCTCCTCAAACAATAAAATTTATATAGGCGTATAAAGAAGCTTTTGTACTTATAATAGATCCAATTTTAATTGGCATATTGAAGCTAAAATTGGATATGTTATAAAAGCTAAAATTTTGTATACATTTCTAATCTTGGCTGCCGCATGGTGTCAGGTTCTAGACAGCTGCATCAAAAGCTGTCAGGTGGCACGTATGGACAAAACTTTTGATGGGGACTTCCGTATTAATCTATCACATACCTTAGGTACGTTTATCTCTTACGGTACGCTACCCCTAGTATAGTACTGTATTCTTCCTTTAACTAGAGTCTTGGGGGGTTAGCTTTTTATGTATTAAACGGTTATTATGCTGATCAATTCGCTTATTCTTGTCTCCGCCAACTTTCTTTTTTTTTTCCACACTTTATTTCAAAAGTTATTATCTCACTGGCTCCACTGACGATGATCCATCGATGTAGTCGTAGGGGATTTAGGAACCGACATTTGGTTGATTCTGGATGATATGGATTTATCTATATGACGTCGCAGATCCATTGTTAGGAGGTATATACGTTTTTCGCATGCGCGCAGTCGTCAACTCAATTGCGTATACTTGAGAATTCGAGAATTCGAAAATTCGCAGACGCGTGCGCAACGCGGGTCGCATCGAAAAATTAAAATGTCCATCCATTCCGTTCTCGCATTTTTTCAACCCCACAATGTTCATGGGGCGTTGCAAAAAGTCAAAAAAGCTCCCCGCGCTCTGTCTTTGGCGGAATCGCGGAATCGAAACTCAAATTGGATAGGCCATAGATCAACGACATGGGTAACAAGATCGGCGACAGGAGCATTTCAAGCAAATCGGATCAACCAATTCCATTACAGAGTTGCAGCTTCAGTGTTTCTTAGCCCTGCCGCTCGAATTGTGACTCATACTCGATTTCACGCTTAACTTTCTATGCATTACATATGCAGTTAGTATCGACTACACACAGAACTACACTATCGACTATACTACAATCTGCATCGTACATGATGGTGGCAGATTATTCGGTAAGAGTTGTTCTCGCCATGTCCTGCCTTCTTTTCGTTTCTTAACCGCACCTTATACCGAAAGTGGCTATATCGTGTTTCACGGCACGGAAGGCCGACGTACGAATATCCTGAGATTAAAGAATTATTTGAAACGGAAAGGGAATGGAAACGGAGAGGCTCGTATACATAAACCAGTGTCTTACGGAAATCTCACCAAGATTGCCTACTTTAGGGACCCTGTCTTGCATGGCTATCCACAGTAGGGTTGCATATTGGTGGATAGCTGGCTGCGGTGAGGTGCGTTTGTGCGTTTCCACCATCTTTTCTACAAGACGCAGGGCGCAGTCTTTTACGCCGTTGCTTTCCGATTCTCGAGGACCCGTTTCTATGTATTACATATGATATGGCATGCATTCCGAATATCAAATGAGATAAAATCATTGGTAATTCACATGCTTGAGACATTTCACGACATTATAGGAGAAAAAGGACCGTATCCGCATCTTTCCCAGGCCGACACAGCACGCCTTATCAGCCCTATGTAGGACCCCCAGTCCTGCATAGTGTACATACATACACACGTCTTCCCTTTCGTTCCTAATTCTTGGTTCACTCGTCACAGCGCCAAACCAAGATAGGTTCTTCAACGAGGCCAGGCCACGTTGCCTCTCCGCATACACTACATAGGATATTAGGCAGAGCTCGATCTAATACCACAAGGCGTGCAGAGCCGCGTTAGTGCTCTACGAATCCATCCGTGCTTATGGGCCTAACAATATCGGGTTACGAAGGCATTCTATATTACTACTGCCTTAGGTACGTTGGCCTACGTCCGTGGAAATGCTCGATATTGGCTGCCTTATGCCTTATGGGCCGCTCCACGCGCCGTCCGTATTACGTAGCGGCTCTCGTCAGCCGCTCATAACCCCTTGGATATCATACCAAGCATAAGTATGTGTGTACCTATAATAGATCTTGTGCATGTAAGTATATGTATGCAACACCGACATACATGCATTCAACTCCCGTAAGTCCGACTCCGAAATACATATCGTACCTTAGGTACATACCCGAGGAAATTATTTTATTTATTCTTTCCCGGTGTTCATGTAAGCCGCTTGCAGGAACCACGGCAACTAACCGGGGGATGGGAAATGTAAGGAAGCCGCCTTAGGATACTCGCAGCCGCGTGGCGAATATTGGATTTGATTTCTGGGTGGACGCCTTACCGCCGGTGAGGTCCGCGGGCTCCGCACTGGCTGCCTCGTCTCGTAGGGTAGGCGTATTTGAGCCGTCGCGGCACGGTCGGACTTGGAACGGTCAATGCGGATACGACACAAGGCTGCGATCCTGAGTTGACCATGTGCTCTTTTATTGGACTCTTATTATGAGCACCGCCACCCCTTTTCTTGCTATGGTTTCTCTTGCGTCTTGTTTGGCTACTATCCTCTAATTGGGGGAGGAGGGTGAGCGGGTGATACGGGGATTATATTACCCCTTATTCGTGATATCGGTATATCGGGATCTCGGGTTGGAGTCGACGCCTCCTTTCCCGTGCCCTTACCCCGAGTACTACGGTTCGTGAGCATCGGTAGCACAGAAGTGCTATTTAAATATGTTATCGAGAAGCTTCTTTCCTAAGTATAAGGATAATATTGCTTGGAATTAATAAGTAAACGTGGTTCGTACATAGCATGGCGTCAGCTAGAAGAGGTGAGAAGTACAGAGAGACGTATAACCGACATCCACATTGAGCTTGCTTATTACAGAAAATTCCGAGTTATGAATTACGACTCCCCATAAAGAAACATGCACAGCTAGTAATAGAACACAGCACTGTAGGGTATCATGACGTATGCTATTTCTACATACCAGTAAAATCAACGCGTGCCTGTAAAGCATCTCGCTCCTTAATCGGTCCTAGTCCTACTCATAAACAATGAGTCTTCGACAGCAACGGGCTTCAACGCCACTTTCTCTTTCGGTGACGGCGCCTCGGTGTCGGTATCAGCAATCAATATCAATTTAGTTAGTAGTCGTCTGGGGGGATTCAACCAAGTTGTTATCCCGAACGACCAGCTCCTGCGCCGCAATCTTCTGCATCATCTGAATGAAGCCAGAGTTCTTAAACTTGTCAGACTTGTCCCCTGAGACAGAATCTAGAATCTGCTGTGCGGCCATGGCCAGTTCCGAGTCCTCATTACCTCGAGACTGAGCCGGCTCCTCCTTCTCAGTCGTTGATTCGGCCAAATTGTTCCGGGGGTGCTGGGCTGCTAGGACGGCATCTTCCTCGAGGGCAGTCAGATTCTGCATGGCAAATTGATGGGAATCAGCGGACTGCGTAGTCGCCTGCGTTTCGCGAACACGACTGTCTGCAGAGGCGTCCTCGACGCGAAGCCACGCGTTAGCTTGAGCTTGCGTCTCGGGACTGTTGGCAGCTGCCCAGGCACGTAGCTCGGCGTCGAAGTCGATATCGTCTTTGGGGCCGGGGACTTGAGCAGGGCGCATGGTTATATGCTGCGGTAACATGCTTACCCCAAAGGTGCTCATAGGTCTCAATACTTGTCCGGGAGGATTGAAGCTTTGATTCATCTGTCTGATGTCGCGAGGGGTCATCCTCTGATTGAACTCGTTGGCCCAGTCTGCGCGACGCTGAGGGAAGTCGTCTGAGCGGAGGTTTGGGCGAGACGCGATGGATATGACGGGAACGGCAGTGGCGACGGCAGCACCAGTTTGGGAGGGAGTATTGAAGCGCTCGGGGGCAACTCTAGGGCGCATTGCAGTGCTGACATGATCGATGGAAGAGAAGGCATCGTCGTTAGCAAAAGACGGGTAGGGGACTAATTGGTGATTGTGGTTCCAATTTCTAACGTCAGGAGGGGTATCAATAAAGGATGCGTTTTGGAATCCTGAGAAATCCGACGTAAATCTGTTGTCGCCCAAGTTCAGGCTGCGGAAGCTCTGCGATAGTGTTAGAAGAAGACATTGAACTGGCTGAGCTGAGATGAACACTAACCTGTGTCGCATCGTGAACGCCGCTGGAGGGTCCGGCGGAGGAAGTGAATCGGTCTTGTTGTAGAGAACGGTCCTGTTCAAAGTGTCGGGATAGTGATTTAGGAGCGGTTGAAGGACCGCAGAGATTGTCCGCCATTCTGATGGACTAGGACGGGGTGGCGATGCGATATGGGAGGATTTGGTTGTCGTTGAGGGTATGGTACTCGGCTAGTGGCGATTCTTTTCGAATGAGGGTCGAGTTTACTTGAGTTTAGTTGAGGAAAGAAGAGAGTTGAGAAATTGGTGAGGATTTCAGCATATGTATGTGTGTGCGTGAAACCTGAAAGTGGTGGTGACCTAGAGATGTTTGCCAGGAAGTAGAACAAAGGAACCGGCCAAATAACCTTGTGTTCTGAGTTGGACAGAACCTTGGTATCCTGGGTTACCGAGTCAGGTTGTCATGGAAGTTACGCAAGATAGACGGGCGCACATGTATACTAACAATTAGATATGGGGTACGTTAGGTAATAATACATGTCGGGGAAGAGACGAAGTTGAAGAAATAATGATTAAACGGGCTTCTCACGAATTGGAGATGTTGGTTTTGAAGTAGCATCACGAGGAAAGGTACCGTTCGGACTTCCTTTGCGATGTAAGCTTTAGCCTCGGCAGACACGGTCAATATACCGACCGGCCTAAACCATGATGTCAATTCTTCTCTTATCGGCTCAAGCAGATAGAGGTACGTACATTCCTTACTAGCGCAGGTACGTACCTAACCTAACCTACAAACAAATCCCCACAGGACCCCGCCATGGGCATGACAGTGGAAGCCATGTCCTGGCCCCTACGGAAGTCCCTATCAAAAGTTTTGTCCATAGGCCAGCCCTTGTTAGCTTTTGACTAGCTGTAGGCCATCGAGCGCATGTACTATCCATAGTACACTACTTTTGCTTATATATAGGTAATGACTCACAATCTTCTTCTCAAACGATAAAAGTTATATAAACGTATAAAGAAGCTTTTGTACTTATAATAGATTCAACTTTAATGTTTTCATTGGCATATTGAAGCTAAAATTGGATATGTTATAAAAGTTAAAAATTTTGTATACATTTTTAATCTTGGCTGCCGCATGGTGTTAGGTTCTAGACAGCTGCATCAAAAGCTGTCAGGTGGCATGTATGGACAAAACTTTTGATGGGGACTTCCGTACACTATTGAAAAATATTAATCCGAAAAAGCACTGAAGTGAAACTTACCTAAGCTTAATGAAATCTGGACTGATCCACCAACCAGTAACATTCAAGAATGCATGCCATTGATATGTATTTGGTGACTTGGTGAACTTCAGTGGAGCTTTGGAACTGGAACTTGTTTACCTCAGCTGCCAAGTCGAAGGTACAGGCGACTTGACAGCTTGAACATCAAAGCCAAGGTGACCCTTATTAAGAACGATATCAAATACCAACACGGCTTTCCTTGGTCGAGTCTCGAGCTTTATACTCTTCACAAGCTATCTCTTTAGTTATATCCTCTGCTCAAGATGGTATGTTGGCTATTAAATCTATAGCTGTTTGGTTTATGACTTACTAACGTTTACTCTACTACAGGCGCAAGTAATATCCAACTCTGGCCACGATGACATGATTGTATGTAAAACACCGAGCGAAATCCATACCGTGCCTCGATTCCATTCGATACGATAAATCTTCCTTCAACATCCATTGCGGCCACATTAAAGCTTTCGCTAACATTATGTAGCATGATGCTGTCCTCGATTACTATGGCCGACGGCTTGCAACATGTTCCTCGGACAAGACGATCAAGATATTCGAGATCGAAGGCGAAACTCAACGGCTGACAGAGACATTAAAAGGGTATGGACCATTTCTCCCTGCCAAAGCAATAGTACTCTAACAATCATGGGTATAGTCACGAAGGCGCGGTGTGGTGTGTTTCGTGGGCGCACCCCAAGTACGGCAACATCCTCGCCTCGGCAGGCTACGACGGCAAGGTTTTTATCTGGCGCGAACAATCGAACCAATGGCAAAGAATCTTCGACTTTGCTCTACACAAGGCCTCGGTGAACATGGTCGCATGGTCACCGCACGAATCGGGCTGTCTTCTGGCGTGCGCGTCATCCGACGGAAACGTGTCCGTCCTCGAGTTTAAGGACAACAACTTCTCCCACGTTTCGTTCCCGGCGCACGGCCTTGGCGTTAACTCTGTTTCCTGGGCACCTTCCACAACGGCTGGTAGCATAGTCTCTTCTGCACCTCCAGGCCTGGGTGCTCTTGGCCAACGCCGTTTCGTCACGGGAGGCTGCGACAACGTGCTTAAGCTGTGGGCCTACGACCCTGCGACGCAAGGATACAAGCAGGAGAGGGAGCCATTGGCAGGGCACACAGATTGGGTACGAGATGTGGCATGGAGCCCGACGGTGCTACAGAAGAGCTATATTGCATCGGCATCACAAGATAAGACGGTACGAATCTGGACGAGCGATAGCGCTAGCCAGGGTCAGTGGTCCTCTAAGGTCTTAAACTTTGACGCAGAGGTGTGGCGCGTCAGCTGGAGCCTCAGCGGGAACGTATTGGCCGTTAGCGGCGGCGACAATAAAGTTTCGTTATGGAAGGAGAACTTGCGAGGCGAATGGGAATGCGTCAAGACGATGGAGGAATGAGGACCAAGGCCTAGCGGATGAAGGTATCGATTACGGGGACGGGTCGAGGATGATTGTCATGAAGCCCGGCGTTCATGTGTAGAAGAGGCATTGGGTTGACAGGACTATTAGTCACTAAAAAGCAGGGTTACTTGCCTCCTGCGGTGGCCCTAAAACTTAGGAAATAAACATGATATCTTATAGTAGCCGTGGAGATGGTAATACGAGTTTATTTCACGGTTGTGATACTACGACTTGTTGTTAGGGATGTGCATGTAACTCTTTATCTTCTTTTGACCCTTGGATATTTCATGATATTCGTCATATTCGAGCTGAGAAAGGAGGACATGCTTCTATTTGCTACCATAGTATTGCTTAGACTGAGACAAATATAATCATCTATCAACATTGATTATCAGAATATTCTCTATAAGGTACTTATTTTATTATTGGAACCTTGTGTTGCTTAAATAGCACTTGTATATTCGCCCCTGTGTATCTATACCCCTTACCCATCGATGTGTTGGATACACGTATGTAAGGGCTATAGAATATTGGATATATTGGCTTTATTTCCTACGTACATGTATTCGTAGGCCCAACACACATACATAACCTTACGTACTCAGGTACGTATAATTACGTACATGTAGTTAAATGGATTGCTACACAAACGGTTTCAACATTTTAAGGTTCAATGTTAAAACATCAAATAACCTTGAAAGGAGAATTGTCCAAGGTAAGAGTGAGTCAGACATAAAGGTAGTCAGCAGTTTCTGTAATTCTAAATGTCTATCATTTTAACGGCTAAAGCCGTTAACGTACCGTAAAAATTCATGGATAATCTAGATAGATCTCTTTGAGAACCAGGTTCAATTGTTTGATGGAGAAGAATCAAAGCTGTTCCATGGGCATACCATCTGACCATGTGCTTGATATATACTACTTATGTACAATAATGAAATGCCTTATCGATTGGACATCTTTATGGATAACTCTACCTGATTCGATCGATTGGATTGATTAACAATTGGCGGTTAGTCAACCAGTCATAATGTTGTGACCAAACATGGAAGGCGGCACCCCAGGCTTGTTGGTCGTACAGGTTGTACCAAGATTGCTAAGTACCCTCTCTGCTAAATAAAGCTACAAGATACATCGGTGTACTCCAGCTTCAGGGGGCCTTGTCAGTACCAATAAAATTAAGGAAGTCGAGCCTGGGATTCCCAGAATCATCAACTTCATAATTGCAACTTAAACTTACTATTCTTGTTCTTGAACTTGTTTAACACTTTTGATCTTGTACAATTGCGACCACTTTTGATCATCCAAGTGATGCTTAATATCTAAACCTATTAGTGTCCGATTCCCTATGCGACAGAGACATCAGCCAACTTGCTGCCGTGTGTAATCCGAAGCGACGACGCATTCGGCCGTGAATAACATCCAGCGCCAACAGCCGCTCAAAAAAAGGAGCTTTCCACTTCGCAGCTTACACCGCCAAGTTGTCTGAATCGCAGGAGGAAAGTCACGGACAGTCCGTGTCCGCCGGGCTCCCACCGACCAATATCGACGAAGACGAAGGGAATCTGAGGTTCGAGAACGACGAAGTAGACAATCTAGACAATCTCGGCCGGGGACGTTCACCTCCTCCGCAATACCCCTACCCGACTTCTGAAGCTTCTGCTTCTACATCGTTTTCGTTAGCCGCCTCTCGTCCTGCTCCGCCACCGTTCTCAAGTCTATACACCGTAGACGATCACTTCAAGCTTGCGCCGACCACCTGCGGGCCTACTTCCGAAGCCGGTGCATCATCAGCGACTGCTGCTCCAGCCTACGCGCCCTCCGACTCGGCGTTTGACAGCCCTCTCGAGAGGTCTGCTTCGTTCAACGACACCGTTGCAGAAACTAAACGGGCGCTCCCACAGGACGTCAAGGGCGAGTCGAGCCAGAAAGTCGACGATCCTAACGAACCACCTCCCGCATATTCCGAAGGATATAGTCCGTTACTCTCATTTACGTATCTAATGGCGGCTGCCGGTGGTGCGTCGAGTATTATTACTCAAGTCCAGCAAGGAGGTCCTCCTGTTAATGCTATCGGAGGTAAGAGGCGCCAGAAATAGTACCCTTGAATTGAATTGAATGGGAATATTGAAATTGGATTATAGATGTCGGCGTCGACGAAACTATCACCATGGACTTACGGTAAATCATTCTTACTAGATAATCTCTTGATTGGATACTAATTGAGTCTTTCGTGTAGTGGCACGCGCTTCGTACTATCTAGAGACGAGTTGCTGACGCTACCTGAATTTGTCCTTCTCTCCTTATTCCCCAATGGCCTCTTTCCCGAAGGTCATATGGGCGGCTTCTCCGAGGGGGATGCCGTTCAAGTCGATGTCAGTACACTCAATGATAACTCCCTTACGCATTGCACTCAGGTTACCTCAAACATCACACGCGAGGCGTCTACTGCGCCGATTAACACATGTCTTCCTGCTTCTACACTTCGCAATCTTGTCTCAAATATAAATATACATATCACTGACCTTATCTCCCAGTATGATCCTGCATCTCTACAATACATGTTGGATTTCTTCCGGAACGTAGCCCAATCTATCCCTACTGAAACCTCTCCTACTGCCTCACCGGAAGGCGGTGCTGTTCCCATCGACTCGTTGGGTGGCCGAGGTGAGGACGGAAGCAAGCGAGCTGGTATTATTGTCCTGCGAGAAGACCTTGACTTTTATGCGATTCCCCCTCGACCGGACATTAACCAAGCTGAAATGATCGAGGTTAAGCGCGCCGCTGCTAGAGCTTTGCTCAAGCAAGACGGGATTTTTTCGGGCCTCAAGAGAAGTGACGAGCCCGGTACGACTGAGGCGCACTTGATCGAGATGCTGACAGCTGGGTAAGTGATATTTCTTTGCGTCTCGTCCTATCCCAATTTACGAACTGCTTATTTCTAACGATTAATACAGCGGTTTCAACCACGATGACAGGTGGGGCCACCGTGCTGGCGAGCCCAATAAAGCTGTTGTATGCAGTCTGGCCCTTGCTCGACTACGTAGCGATATACGCGGTAACGACATGGGAAACAATGCTGTTGGCATGGCGCAGAAGCTACTGCTCTTCTGGAGAAAGCCAGCGCGGCGTTGCTGGTGGGAAGGTGTGGATCTGCAAGACGTGGAGGGTGTAGAGGGCACTCTAAAAGTGTGGATTCGGAGAGTGTGGACACTGGAGATGAGTGTGATTGGGTTGCGCTGATAATGACTTCTTCTACCAGGCGAGCGACATGGCGTTCGAGTTACGTTTTTCTTTTTTAACAATAATTTTTTTTCCTTCCTCGATACCACGGAGGAAGACGAGGTATTTACACATGGCGGCCTCTATATTCACGTCTACATTCACCACCGCAACTATTATCAGTCCCCCCCTTGTTTATACCGGTTTTAATTGTTAAGGCTAGGATATCAGATACCTGTTCGTCCTATGCTTTTATGCTTTGTTGTACGGTACACACCATAGCGCGCATATTCTATGTAGACCGGGGGGTAAGAAGAATATGGGGACTCTCTTGGTTGTGGAATGAAAAATTAGGATTTCTTCTTAGAATTGGAATATCACTTATTGTAATAGGTTCGCTTCGTGACGTTGGGATGTTTATCTTTTTATTGTAGATTTTTGCATAGCTGTGGGCAATATATATGATGCGTATATTTACCTGAGTATTGAAGATACCTCTTTGACAAGTTAGAAAATAGGGGGTTCTGTCGACCCGTACTTAGCCCGGACTGTCTACGGCCTCTCGGGTGTCTTTATTTGGTCAGCTTCCCAAGGTTTGAGACTATTTACCTTGAAAAATTTAAAAAATGAAAAACGAACCGGGTGCGTACATACAGATCCGGACATGTACCTGCGTATTGATGTTTGACCAGCCAGCTAGCCTGCCCCACTATCAAGTCTTGATTTAGGTACAGAGGTGGAGCAAGCGAGTCCCAGCAGCTTCGGCTTCCATCATATGCATGTACATATGTACTTGACGTTTCCGTATAAGAGATTGTACATGCATGTACATGTATCGATCGTACGAACATTTTTGTCCAAGACCAGAAAATATCGTGCTTCAACTTCCGCCACTCATACCACTTTTACTTTTATAGATTACGGAGGTATTTACATGCGCGAGTCATAGGTAATTCAATTCACTTAACTGCATTCAATTTCGTACTCTATTACATCTTTACATAAACAATTGATACAAACCTTTGTTCTAAAGCGCCACCTAGAAGTTCTCCAGTTCTTCGAGCCCGTCGGATTTTTAGGGTCTATCGCGACTTGGCGTGGGGCTGTCCATACATAACGTTTAATACACTACAGTAGTATTTACACTTTTCTGCCATTATACTCGATCCGCTTTTGCCTCTACATAGTTGTACACAGTAAAGCGTCAGGGATAAGCCGTCGAGTACCCGAGTGATCGAGATCATCGTCGAAACTATCGTGCCTACACGCCCGCTCTTAATATCGACCAACGCTATCACGATACCGACGGTAAACGCATTGGTGCCCGAAGCGTACCGAACCATTTATTAGCACAGACATTGGTACAATACTGGTACTGGTACTGACGCTGATACTCCACCGTCATAATGCGTCAATATGGCCGATGATTCTTCTACCGACTCTGCTTTCGATCCCCGTCTTTTTCCTACTTCTCTCACCGCAAACTCGTCCTCCTCATCGTTACACCTAATGCCACGAACTAGAAGACTACGTCTACTGGTTGCCGCAAATGGCCAAAGGGATGTCGCCTACGCTCAGGCTATCGCCGTCCGCCTCCTCAAGGATGCCCAGATCGAAACCCGTGCCCTGGTCGACGAGATACCCTTCCGGCTAACTCATGACATTATTGTCATGGAGAATAGGAGTTTGGCCACGTTGGCTATCGATGCTGACCAGAGGACCAGGGATGCCATAGAATCAGCCAGACAAACCGCTTCTGAACTCGTCGAATGGGCTGACCTACTCGTCCTAGCCCCTATCGATGCCGACCACCTCGCTAAGATGATGTCCGGCATCGCCGACACTACCCTTCTAGAAATACTAAGAGCGTGGGATGTTTCCAAGAAGATTCTGCTAGTACCTGGCATGTCGAGGCAGATGTGGGAGAACCCCATGACGAAGAAGCAGCTTAGCAAAATCAAGCGCAAATGGAATTGGGTCAAGGTTATGGCCCCTGTATTATGGCATTACGAGGGACAGAGCGCGCATAAGCGAACAGTAGCATGGGATGGATTCAACGACCTTGTCGGCATAATAAAAAACCAAGCAGAGTTGATGAGCCTAGGACATGATGTCGAAGTTGCCACCCAACAGGCCTTGCATACAACCGCTACTGGTCGGTCCACCAAGACCTTACCGCCGGAGATATGGTCCATTATATTCGAACACGTCGGCGACTGGGAATTGGCTACGGCTCTTAACATATTTACGAATTTGAAGACCCCACCGGAATGGAGAACTGATCGTGCGGCCCTATCTGACCCTATGGAGTTATACATACATGATCTCGAGTGGTTGATTCTCTCGTGCCCCGGAACGGAAGCGATCTGTCAAAAACTCTCAGAAGCGCCCAAGGGACTCCGCTTCGTGTCTTATTTGGCGGTAAAACTTATCATTAAGTTTTCGCTTACGGATGTCCTCACCTACCTAGAAACACATCTCAGCAAGGTCTTCTGGGCGTCCTTCAGCTCCAAACTATTGCCGAACAAGGCTTCTGGAGTATATGGGAGGATAGATATTCTCGATTGGTGGAACACGTCTCCTTCGTTTCTGAAGAAGGAATATGACGCCGAAGCATTAGATAACGCTTCGCGTATGGGTTACGTTCACGTTTTGGATTGGTGGCTCCGCTCTGGCCTCACGCTTAAGTATACTGAGGCAGCGCTGGAGTCGGCCTCAGCAAAAGGACACCTTCTTGTCTTGGAATGGTGGAGGGATGCCGCGTTGAAACACGATAACATCCCGCTCAAACCTGGTCGTAGTCTCCTCACTGCCGCTCAGTATGGGCAGACGGCAGTACTACGTTGGTGGGAAAGTTCGGGAATTCCGGCAGCTCATAGCGAGGGCGTCTGCAAGATCGCCAGCGCGCACGGACAGACTGCGGTACTAGACGTGTGGCGGGAACTCAAGGGGGATAAGCTGTCCTTTGACTCTCAGGTGTTAGTCGCGCCGACGAAACAAGGGTACGTCGATGTGTTGGAATGGTGGAAGCAATACGCCCGGGGGGAGTACCAAGTCGATGGGAGAACGCACAGGGTGGAATATAAAACTTGCGATATCGAGGAGGCGCTCGAGGATGCCATCGGAGATCCTAGACCGGTCCGCAGATGGTGGGCTCGAAACGGCTTGAACCTAGGACTGGGCACGAACGAGTGGATGAAGATCAGACGGCTATAATTATAACTACGAGTATGGTTGTATGGTTGGCAATTCGTGTGTATATGTATGGTCGTGTATATGTTGATAATATATGAAGTAAAAGTCCAAGGTAACTAGAGGTGATATGGGGGTGTATCTTGGATATGTGTGTGATTTTAATATGACATGGTTTTCCCTATTTGGATTTGATGTATGGCCGGTTTAGATGCAGAGTATATCGCAGTGCCACGATGCTTACCTATTTAATGCGTAGCCCCTTTTCCTAGCAAATTCCTTTTCAACCCATTCAAAGCAGCTTTCCTTTACCCCTTTCCGAATCTATCTATATCTTCTCCCCCTCCAGAATCGGCCGGGCCTCCTCGGTCCTCCACCAGCTCACCCCCTCCTCGCCCGGGTAGCTAAACCGATCCATGCTCTCCGCCTTCATCTCCACGCTGTACCCCGGCTCCGTCGGCGTCTGGTAGTACCCGTCCTTCACCGCGGACGGATGCAGGAAGTGCTCGTGCAAATGGTCCACGTACTCCAGCACGGAGCGCTTCCCGCTAACGACCACGTAGTCGATCGTGCTCAGATGCTGCGTGTACTCGGGCAGCCCCACGCCGCCCGAGTGCGGAACTACGGGGACCCCGAACTTGGCGGCCATGAGCAGGACGGCCAGGACCTCGTTTACGCCGCCGAGCCGGCACGCGTCGATCTGGCACACGTCGATGGCGCCGCTCGCCAGCAGCTGCTTGAAGACGACGCGGTTCTGGCACATCTCCCCCGTGGCGACGCCGATGCCGTAGGGGCGCAGGGCGTCGCGCACCGCTTTGTGGCCGAGCACGTCGTCGGGCGACGTGGGCTCCTCGATGAACCACGGCTTGTACTCGGCGAGCTGCTTCATGTGGGCGATGGCGTCGGGCACGCTCCAGATCTGGTTCGCGTCGACCATGAGCACGTTGCCCCGGTCGTAGCCGATGATGTCCCGCGCGATGGCCAGGCGGCGCTTGTCCTGGTCGACGGAGCCGCCGACTTTCAGCTTGAAGTGCTTGTACCCGTTCGCCAGGGTCTCGCGGAGCAGCGCGCGCATCTTGTCCTCGCCGTAGCCCAGCCAGCCCGCGCTGGTGGTGTACGCGGGGACGGCGCGGCTCTCGAGGGCGTCCTTGAACCGGGCGTCTTTTTTCCCGTCTTCTTGGGCCTTGGTCAGCAGGGCCAGGGCCTCGTCGGGGGTGAGGGCGTCGGTGATGTAGCGGAAGTCGATGCACCGGACGACTTCTTCGGGGGTCATCTCGGCGACGACGCGCCAGACGGGCTTGCCGAGGGTCTTGGCCCAGAGGTCCCAGACGGCGTTGACGACGGCGCCGAGGGCGAGGTGGATGACGCCTTTCTCGGGGCCGATCCAGCGCAGCTGCGAGTCGTTGACTAGGTGCCGCCAGGTCTGGCCCCAGTTGGAGACTAGGCTTGAGAGGGTGCGGTTTTTGATGCGCTCGGCCAGGTGGGATATCGCGGCGCAGACGATGTCGTTGCCGCGGCCGATTGTGAAGGTCTGAGTTGTGTTAGTTATTTTTTTTTTTTTTTTCGCTTTCTTATTTGAAGGGGGGTATATAGTGAAGTAAGTAAAAGGGGGGGGGAGGGGGGTTCACCATTCCGTGGCCTGTGAATTTAGAGTCCGTCTCGAGGATGCAGTACGCGGAGGAGTAGTCGCCGGCGGCGTTCATAGCGTCGGACCCGGTCTTGTCCAGGGACGTGGGAAACCGCACGTCGCGGGTCCGGAAGCCGGTGATTGTGATCTCGGCCATTTTGAGCTGGGCCGGCCCTTATACCGAAAGGGAGGGGAGGAAGGGGGTGTTGGCTAAGTAAGTAGGGTCTGGGATGAATGTAGTATATAAAGGTAAGGGTAGTAATGAGAGGGATGGGTGCTGGTGAAAGTCAATGGTTAGATAATGGTTAGATACGGTAAAAAGGGATAAAGACGTAGGACATCTTAGGTAGTCAAGCCAAGGAAACGATGTTTTATTTATTGAGACAAATGGCAGCACTTACATAGAAGACATGCCACCTCCGAGTCCGGGATCGTGGGGTTCGTTGGAGGGGTTGAGCTTCGTGTGGGGAAAGACTATAGATCGGATTCGGGGTAGTTCGGTCCTCTGCTATAAATACAGTCCTATGTCGTCTCTTTCACAAAGAGATTATTAGTTGCGGGGTTCGGTTATTAGACTGTTCGTTTAATTAGACGGACTATGATTTACAGAGGGGAGACTATGTTGAATAGTTCCCCTCGTTCTGATTGATGGATAAATTGGAGAAATACGCCGTCTCCAAGATTGCCGGTTAGTATTAGTACTTAACGTGCATCTTAAGCCGAAGTGCTTTATTTAAGTATTTGGGGGCCCTTATTTTATAGTGAATAACTATAGTATTACAATCTTGAGTTTATAAGGGTTGATATTGTAGATATTTCAAGACTATTAAGAGAGTTGGCGTTTAAAGTAACTACCTAATACATATCTTACAGCTTGGTCATTAACCTGCTTATGATCAGTCTGAAGTCTTATAGCTTCCACCACTTCATATGTGATAGGTACCTAAGCATGAGAGTCTGAGTCTATCCTCTGTCCTAGTAGCACTCTTGAAAGCTCAAAGCCATCTAACCCGCCTTAAATCGACTTGAGAGCCTTTACCGTGGCAACGAGGAAACATGCCCACGCCGGAATATCGACCAGAGCAGTCCGCACGTGGTGCACATCCAGCCAACCCTGAATAGCATTGACACCTCCGCCGTTAGGATCTTCCTTCGCATCGATGGCATCCTTGACCTTCCACATAATCTTGGGCACGAATGCGAAGTGAGCAAAAGCAAGAGCCGAGCCAGCCGCGTACCAGTTCCAGGAAGCAGCGTGAAATCTCGAGTAAGAGTTGACGAGGCCGAAAGTTATAGACACGCCATAGGTGATGAAGATGGAGGGCAACGCACTCCAGAAGAAGGCCTCGAAGTAGCGCGGCACGACCTCGTTGACTTTGGCTCGCTGCTGTTTTAGCGAGACGAGGGCGCTGAGGAAGACGTGCGAGTCGCCTGCGATGACGATGGAGGCTGTTGATGTGACTAGTGGTGCGACGCGCAGGAGCGTTAAGGGGTCGAAGAATAGTCCCGATGCCATGGTTTATAATGAGAGATAATGAGAGAGGTTTGATGTTATTTGGTGTCTTGGATAAGGATCTATAAGTTGCTTATAAGTGGCTTATAAGTGAGCGAGTAATAAGTTGGATGAAGAAAGATGAGTTGGTGACGGACATCTCTCGAGGTCCTAGGTATTTATTCTTCATCATCTGTACTATGTAAGTCCCTTCCCTCATGCATCGGACTCAGCCGGTATAATAGTGGCCTGGTTCGATCCATCGTGACCCGATCCATGATGTCTAAATATTACCTACATAGGTACATAATAGCTTCGCGGCGTGGACAAGAGGATGATGGTATATCATCCCAAGGTACATCGGCTCGCCTAGAAATAAACTTGTAGGTCGAGGTACCGATCCATTGGTATCATTCACTTTTCGGGGGCTTAGAGATGTCTTTCCCAAGCTCTGATAGGTTGATGAGGTACGTATTGGGACACGCTAATGCAGACTGCTTACAATCTTAGCCCGGGCTTCGGGGAATGCGCGTGCTGGCGTGTTGGCATCGAACTTTCCATGCCGAGATTAAGGGTTATATAAGGTTTTTTTTTTACTTTTATTTATTAGGCTTTAATCGGCTTAACGTTAAAGCCGGTTTTAATAATAAAATAAAAAGGGTTAAAATATTTTTTTACGTTAAAAAAAATATTTTTATAACGTTTTCTTTAATTTAATAGTAAATTTAACGTTATAAATTTTAAAATTTATTAAAATTTAAATAAACTTTTATAAGTTATATATTACGTTAATAAAAATAATATATTAAATTTAAAAAAATTTAACGTTTTATTATTTACTTTTTTTAAAAAAATAAAAAAGATAAAAATAAAATAGTATAATAAAAGTAAATAAAATTAAAAATAAATTAAATTTTAAATTTTAAAATAATCCGTTGAAGACATTTTTTACGTTTAAACTTTTAGAAATTATTATGTAAAATTAATAAAGAAATGATAAAAAAATAATAAGGAAATAATAAAGAAATAATAAATAATTGATAAATAATTCATTAATAAATGATAAGAAAATTAATAAAAGATTAAATGTTTCCGACGGATTTTCACGTGCGAGCCTGCAAGCACGTGAAAACGCTTACGCGAACTTGCGAGTGCATGCGTTTTCTTAAATTTTAATTATTAATATTATATTTAATAATATTATTTTAAAAATAAATCTTAAAAAATAATTATTTATATTAATTATAATTAAAGTTTTTAAATTATTTAAAAATATTAAAATTAATTATAAATAATATTTTAAATTTTTTTAAAAAAAAAATATTATTAATTTAAAAAGTTATAAAATAGTTTAAAAAGTTATTAATAAATTATTAAATAATTTTAAAATAAAATTTATAAAATATTTTTAAATATTAAAAATTATATTTAATAAATTATTAATTTAATTATAAAATAATTATAATTTAAAAAATTTTTATTATATTTTAATTATTTAAAAATTAATAATATTTTTATAAATTATTATTTATAATAAATTTTAATATAATATTATATATAAATTTAAAATAATTTAAAATATAATATAATTAATAATTTAAATGTTATTATTAATAATAAAAAAATTATTTAATATTTTTATTAAATTTTTAAATAATAATTATTTTTTTTTAAATATTAAATTAAATTTTAAAAAAAAAGTTTTTAATGGTTATATTAACGTAATAAATAAGATTTATATTTACGTTTTTATTTTTATTAAAATATATAAGGTTTAACGGAATTATAAAGGTTTTATTTTTTAAAATATATTTATAATAATTAAATTAAATAAGATTTTTAATTATGTATTAATTAAAGAAAAAAAATTTATATATAATGTAAAATTTATTTATTTTATTTTTAATAATGGTTTTAAAATTTTTTAAAATAAATATTATTTAATTAATAATAATTATAAAATTTATTAAAATATTTTAATATTTTTTATAAATGTTAAATATTATTTATAAAAATAATGTGTTAAAGTTAAAAGGTTTATTTACGTTATTAAATTTTATAATTTATATTATTTTTAAATATAAATAATTATAAAGTAAGTTTTTAATATATTAAAATATAAATTTAAAATTATATAAAATTTAATATTTAAATATAATATTAAATTATAAATATTATTTATATATATTATATATAATTTATATAATTTTATTAAACGTAATAAAATTAAAAATATTAATAATAAAAATAATATAATTAATAAAATATAAAGTATTTTTAAAAAGTGTTAATTAAAAATAAGTAAATTAATTAATAAAATTTTTTACGATATTAAAATAAAAATTATTTTTAAATAATAATAAATATATAATTAATATATATAAAAAATTATAAAATAAAAGATTTAAAATATTATTATTTAATTAAATAATAAAAAATAAAAGTAATATTAAAATAAAGTAAAATTTAATTAATTAATTATTAATAATATTAATAAAAAGTAAAGATTTATTAAAATTTTATAATATTTTATATAGTTTTAATATTAATAATATAAAATCGATTTTTAAATTATTATTTTTATTTTTTTATATTAAATTTAATAAATGTTAATTTTTTTTTTTTATTATTAATGTATTAAAAAAAATTGTTATTTTTAAGGTTATAAATATTATTTAAATAATAATATGTTTATTAATGTTAATATTATTAAAAAGATTTTTTAAAAAATATTTAATAATTTTTTTAAAGTTATTAATATTTTATTTTTATTATATTTAAAAAATAAATTATATAAAAATATTTTTTAATAATTTAAAATTTAATTGTTTAAGTTTTTTAATTTATTAATTATAAAAAGTTTTATATAATAAATTATTTTTAAAGGTTTTTTTTTTAATTATAAAAAAAATTTTTTTATTTAAATTATTTAAAATTTTAATTAATAAATTAAAATTATAATTATGTTTATTAACTTTTTTTTTAATTTTTAACGTTTATAACGGCGTAAAAAAAAATAATAAATACGATATTAATTTAAAAATTAAATAAATTAATATTATTAATTAAATTATTAATAAATTTTTAATTTTTAAAATTATTATTATTAATATTATTATTAATATTATTATTATTAAATTTTAAAAATATAAATTAAAACGCGTTTTTCGATAAAGTTAAAATAAACGTTTTTATTAATTTATTTAAAAAAAAAGTTTATATATATATTTTTTTATTATTAAAAAATATTATATATAATTATTTACTTTTTAAATTTTATTATAAAAATAAAATTTATTATTAATTAAATATAATTAAATAACTATTTTTATTTTTATTATTATTATTAATAAAATTGTTAATTAAAGCTTAATATTTAAAATAACATTTTTTTTTAATTTTACGTTTTTTTATTATTAAATTTTAAATTTAAAATTTTAAAAAATTAATTTTTTTTATAATTTTAAATAAATATAATTAAATTAAAACCTATATTTAAAATTAATTAATATTAAATATATCTTTATTTATTAAAATAATTAAATTTTTTATATATATTATTATAAAATTAATAATTTACTTAATATATTAAAAAAATAATTATTTTAAAAATATTTTATAAAATTATTTTATAATAATAAAATTATAAATTTATATTATATAATAATAAAAATAATTTATTAAAATTAAAAAGTTTTTATTTACGTAAATTTATATTTTAAATATAAATTTTTAAAATATTATATAATTATAAAAAAAAATAAAAAAATATTAAAATTATAATATTTTATAATTTATTAAATTAAATTTAACGTTAAATTAATGGAAAAAAAATATATTATTACTCCATTTAATTTATATAAAGTTAATTTATATTTTTTTTTTTAAATAAAACCGGTCTTATTTTTAAGTCGATCATAGCCTTATTTTATTATTAATAAAAAGACTTAATAATCTATTTTTAAATTATATCTTTTATTCTAACATCAATTCTTAATCACGGTTCCATTAGCGTAATACGCCCTATCGCCTTGGCCGTGATACTCCCACCAGTCTGGAGGCTGTTCGAGTTCCGTGACCCCTTCAGGTTTTGTCCATTCTACGTACTTGGTCAAATTCACCCCGTGCGCGTCGCGATAATCGACTAGCTGGCGCCAGTCTCTGCACTGCTTCCGTACTGCAATATACTGGGTTAGCCATGATGGAAGGTTGAAGGGAAAAAAAAAGTGAACTCACCACTCATATCCGGGGACGGATGCAATCCGTGTTCCACCCAGTTGTAAGTCAAAAATCCAGCATCGGCATTGCAGAGAAGATGTTCCATCATCATTCCGACGCAATGTTGTATATGAATCCAGTGGATTTCATTCCACTTAGGCACTGTTTCGCCTTCCCGGTTCCAGTACCTGAAGGCCTCATGCCGTAACACACTTAGACAGTGAACCTGATGGAAAAAGTCAAGCGCGCCAACATACGCATCGTCTCCTAAGCCCCAATAGTCGTCATTAAACTTGGCGACCGTGGCGGGATCTTTGCCCATGGCAGTTATTTGGTCCTTAGTTAAGGCAATGGGCTTCACATGCTCGAAGCTGTCCCAAGCTTCGTTGGTTTCGTTGGAATCTGGCAGGCCTCGCCAGATAGGTGGGTTATCTCCCAACCAAAGACTTCCGTTAAGTAGAGTATTGGTTAGTGGTATGTCGACTTCCTCGAGAACGGGAGCTAGCAAAAGGGAATATTAGCAAGCCGTATCGCACCTCTATACATAGGTGAGGTCGAGCGTGGATAACCTACAGTACGTAGATGTGGCCCTGAGGCACATATTGCGCTCAATATATCTTGTCCAAGCAGCAAAGTATAGAGCCAAGGCCGCCCCGAAGAAAATGACGTTAAGGATGGTCAGAATCCATATTGTCCAGCCCCTTTCCTTCCTCGATGGTGCTCTTGCCCTAATGTCAATATCCTCTTCGAGCAGAGCTTCTAAAGACTCGATCCCTTCTTCCCTTCCCCATGAAGTCTCCTGACGATAGCAGGGCACCGTAAAATTTAGGATGGTTCCTATGGCCATTTGAATAGACTTGGGAACGAAAGTTGCCAGTTTGCTCACGATGAGATCAGTTAACCCGACAGCCATTGGAAATCTCGAGCTCTTTTCGGGTCTATCCGCTGGGATCAGCAATACGCGTGTTATATTGTCTGTATGTCTTATACTTCAAGCCCGGCACGTGTAGCGGTATTCGGGTTGGCTCAAGCCCCTCCGTTTCTCTGACGTCCTATGGAACCAAGATAACTGTCCATGGGCCTTGACTATCGGTGAGATTGCATAGAAATATCTTGAGGGTCGAAGTATGATCTATGAGAAGCTACTATGAGAGGCTAAAATGCCTACGCCACCCACGTCATCTTTGATATCACAGATACTTACAACGGAAAGATGCATATCTTTTTAATATTCTGAAGTCATTGTCTCGGCGGATACCTCCAATAAAAACGTCTCATACGTGTGTGCAGACGGGCTTATTCATATTTCCTGGAAGCTGGCATAAGACTATATCCATTCATGGGGCTCGAAGCGATCATCTCTTTCGCGTCAACGGACATCAACTGATAACAACTTGGATGGCCTTAGACATTGGCTGCATACGAACGGAAGAGTCCGACCCTGACTTAATGTGAGACAGAGTATATGACGATAGGAATAACTACGATACTATCATCGACTTGAGAGTCTCGTGACCCCTATCCATCATAATGTGTATAAGTACCTCGAAGAGACGGTCCTTGACTCTCCCTTTTATTCAAGAATAACACCAAGCTTCTACACTCGCTATCTCGTGACATATCCTCCATTTCGTCTTCAAGTTCCTTAACCTCACTTAAAGGCATCATGCTGTTCTCCAAGCTCTACCTCGCTACTATGTTCATGGCTAGCGCCTTTGCTGCGCCCATGCCGAACAGTATGTCTTCCCATACGTCTTTCCTTCACCATTTTGTCTCTATAAGGCACAATGAAGGATGGAAGGCCTTCTAAGCCATACGATGTCTATATCTGAGCCTTATGCTAACCTGAAGCTCTAGATGACAACATCAAGAGCCCGGCCTACTCCGTAGGAAAGGAGAAAAGTCGCTGTGAGACTGTCCCCGAGCAGGTTCACGCGCGCGTGATGGCGGATGCTGCGGCTGACAAACGCAGCGATGAGAGTGATGCTTATTATACTCTTACCTTCCAGATTGATAATGAGGGCGATGCTGAGGAGTAATATGGTATAGGGAGCGGGTATTACCGTATTATCAGGAATTTTGATGCTCGAGTTGGGGATAGATGGGTTAGTGAGAGAGAAACTAAGTGTTACAAAGAGATAGACCGAAATTGTGGAATGAGGTTGAATTATCTGCTGAAGAGGTAACACAATATAACATTGGATTGACGAAAATGTAATATGACTTCTAGAATAGTAGTGATTTATAAACATTCGTAGAGTTCTGTATCATACACTATACAATGGAAAATTAATGAGCTGGTGAAAATGGTGTTCCTTTACCTTTTTCTCCTCAACCCTCTACCTGCCCCTATTACCCCTATACCGCTGGTGTCATCCCATATCTGATGGTTCTCCTTTATAGATTGTGCTTTAAAAGAATATATTAGCTGAAAACTATCCATCAATTAATAATAATCCACATAGGGGCTTAGGACTCAATGAACTTGTATGATCTTTGGTGGCACTATATATGAATTAATTATCCATAAATAAGATGGAATAAAGGCAGTGTCCTACGACAATACAGTTGCTTGCGATCGTCGTCTTAGAGCTTTCATGAAACAATTTAGTCATATTGCATTATTTCTTGTATCTCAGTTATATTTAAAGCTCTCAAAATTCCTTCAATTTTTGGATCGTAGTCTACATCATCACAGTTTTTACTAAGTAAATCACTTTGATACAGTCTTAAAATACGTAATCATTTCATAAATCCTTCATAACAGAACTCTACAATTACCTATCAGAAATTTGATCAAGATGGCCGCTATGCAAGAGAGACTCCAATCAGTTTTCCAGCACTTCGTCCCTGGTTTATCGGAAAGCATCTTGCTGCAAGACCCCCAAATCCTAGCTATTATCGTCGGCGGTAATTGGCTTTACCTGGACGATGCAGACATAAAAGCGGGAATTCACCGTCTGTATTGGAACGTTGTCGTTCTTGTTAAGACCAAGCTTGATATTTTCAAGCTTGTTAACGAAAACCGCCAACGTCTCTTAGATATAACCGGAATCGTGCGAGAAGAATGCCCTAGTGAGCTATTTAAAGTGCCCTCTCCGGACTCCGAGTACTGGTCAGAGTTTAACGCTGTTGGATTTTCTGGCTACGATAGATTATCGTCTATGCGATCGGTTACGATAATGAGCTGGGATTCCTTTATCCCATCCACGGCAGTGGCTATCCCTACAACCGCGTTCAATATATTTTCATATATGGATAAACGAGTCTCTAAAAACAATAATCTCGGACATGTGGAATGTCAAATTATACAGGCGAGCAGCCTCCCAAATGGGTTTGTGATCCTACACGACCAATGGTTATTTGAGGACTGGCGTACGCCCTATGATTCTCGACGGGACCCCTTGGATGTGGTGTTTGGCCCGGCTGCGGAGGTGTTGGCGTGTGGAGTAGATTTATTCAAGAATCCGTTCAGGGAGCATCTTACTCAACGGGTCTTGCTCCATTACTTTCACGTTACTGGGATACACGTATCGGCTAAGCGCCTCACAGATTCGGACTTATTTTCGTCCTCCTATACTGCGTGGGTAGATGAAAGGCTTGAGCAATATTACAATGCGCTTGGCCAACAAGTTCTCCCTAGCCTGGCCTTAGGCAACGTATCTGACAGTGAATCCGACTCTCACCGGCGGCTGACTTTATTTGGGGACACATCGACGGGAAAGTACTGGGATAGGAAAACCTTCAGTACTATTGAAACCGTTGATGAAAAGGTGCTTAAATGCTTCGAGCGCGGAGACTTTGCTTGGATGAGGCAAAGGAGGCCACTCTCCGGCGAGCTTTCAGGGAAATGGGAGGTCGCAATTACTTGTGCGGCTAGAAATACCACCAATGTGCTCTGTAAGACGACTCCATCCGCGAAGGATGAGCTCGAAAGAGCAACTGTGGCTTCTCATTTTTATCCCTGGGTACAGGTCCCACGTATATCGGGCTCTGAAAGGTTGCTCTTCCCTATGTTAGAATACGAATATGAAGAGGAAATCAGGGCTCGGTATTATAAGAATGAGGGTAACAGCTGGAAGGACGCGGAGGTATTGATTCATGCCGAAGTTGTAAAAGCTGAGATAATACTCAGTGCCTATCGAAAGGCGTTCCGGAATCCTAATATTCAAAGACAGGATACTAGGGATGTTATAAAATCGTACCTTGATCGCGTCGCAAGGGGAGGAAGACTGTTCCGGGAACTACACGGTAAAATCCAGGTAAAAGGAGGCCGCTCAATCGACACTAGGAAGTTCTTGGACTTGGAATGGATTATTAACGGCGAACGGTATCCGTCCTTGCGCAAGCTGCTCGATCAAGCTGCTAAGGATATCCATAAAGCTCGGTCCAGTCCGGTGGTTATTGGGTTAGGAGACACCAGTGCGCTACATACCATGGTATCGCCAAGAACCGCACAAGGAGGTCGCAAAGTGATCTTTGATAACTATGACTCTGTCAAGTATCACCCAGTCATGCTTGATATTGCTAGGACCTTCTACTTCGACGTGTTCTCTGAGATGGCGCGCATCGCCGATTTACCATCTCGTATGCGGCCGTGGGTAAGATATTCGATTACCGAGACCGCAATAGAGGTTAAATATGCCCGGAATCGCAGCTGGTTGGCACAGACGATGGCTGATATCAAAATAAGATATCTGCTTCATCCTCTCGAAGACGAGATCAAGGCCATGGGGCATTCCTTCGACGACCTTATTCCTCAGTTGTCCGCTGGCATATTCTTGGTTCCGACATTATACCAGGACTTCTCGAAGAACCCAGACTACATCATTACGAACGTGATGACTGGGATCGTCATGTCGCGTTGTAGAAACTGGGGAGAATTCGACCTGGCGCTTGCAAAACTGGGCTTTCATCCTTGAAGCGATGGGGGGCGCGTTTGATAAAGAAAGAAAAAAGTAAAAAAGAAAATAAAATGAAAAGATTCGAATAATTTATGATGTTCTCGTAGGCCTGAACTGTGAATGATTACTCAAGTAGTTTAATGTTATGTACCTATATATAACGTACAAAGACGTAAATAACAAAAAAGAAACGACTCTATCTAAAGACGCAGAGCCACGAACCCAAGCTGGAGCTAAGCCAACTAATATAACCAGAAGCTCTTTGTACACATGTCTCAGCAGCCCTAAGGATCCAACACAGTACCGAAACACACAGTATCCTCGCCATGCAGTGGTTTATAAGCCCGAATAACAGATAGACCATCATATAATCCCTCTGGGTAGCTCCGTGGTGTAGTGGTAAGGCCCCGCCATTACGACCAGTACCGGTATGAGCTGCTTGGAGGGATTATATTTTTTTCTTTTTTTCTTCTTTTGTTTTGGACGTCCTTGAAGTCGTACCGCATCAACCCCTCAGGGATTGACCCAATTACTGATCGCCGTATACTGCAGCCACCACATATATGAGACAATATCACATGTTTGGAACCCCTAGTCTACTGGGACTACTAAGATAAAGGGTTTGTAGCTATGATAGTGGTACTAGGGGTTGATATTCTTTGTGTAACAACAAGTATATTCAATAACGTGGTCTTCTTAACTATAATCATAGCCAGAAAGAAGTAGGGAGGAAGATCCGTAGTCTTTTGCTATGCTAATGTTGCGGAGGACAAGGACTCGCAGGTGTATACTTGGGAGCAGGGACTAATAAGGGGTAAAAAGCTTAGACAATGTTACGGTTATATAAAGAAAGAGGAAATATCGTAATATTTAGTGCGCTGAATGAATATAAATTAATATGGTATATGTCCTCTTAAACAGTGGCAATGGGAAAAAAATGAGGTAGATCCAATAAGTATGGAATTTAAGGGGCTTACCCCTGACCATCACTCTGGGAGACCATGGGGTATAAGGTACCGATCACTACACAAGAGCTAGATAGTATAGTTACGTACCATCAAGCCTATAACGCTATTGTTACGTACGGATTTAATAATATGAAACCGACTATATTGTTATGTGAAGAGCGAGGTACTACTGCAGGCACCTAAAGGGGCATGAGGTAGTCAAGTACCCCTTCTTTATCTACAATGTCTCAATAATCATCTGAACAGAAGTCTATATCTACCTAACCTATCTTTATTAACTTACCACTTACCAACATAGCCCATTACCCTCTGGGTTAGTACAGCCCCTAGGTAATGACACTTTCTACTTCACTTAACAACATCAACATCACCTCATACTCCCATCGCGTAATCTCATACATAGCATAACAAAACAGTACACTTCATTAGACAAATTAAGTCGTTATTACGTACTATGTATGGCCTAGTAGATAAAACATACTTAGGTACCTATGCTGCACTAGCTTTTCTGTTTCAAAAGTCCTCATATCCGGACAAGTACCCTAACTATCCCATAGCGCCAAAGTATAACCAAAAATCCCTCAGATACCTATTAAATTCTTAGCTTGGGCACTTATCCCACCATCCTCCTTGTCATTCTCCTGTTCTTCACTCGTAAATGTCTTAGCTCTGAATCCCATCCACGGCAAGCCGCTTCGCAGTGCCAAGCTGCTCAGCACGACGCTGATACTGCTGAGCGCCATCGCCAGACTAGCCCAGACGGGCGAGAGACGCACATGCTGGCCGTTAGACATAATGGGGTACAGGCAGCCTGCGGCAATAGGTACGGCGAGCAGATTGTATATGAGGGCCCAGCCGAAGTTAAACTTGATGCGACGGAATACCGTTTTGCTTAGCTCAAGTAGTGTGACGATGGACTCCAGATTGCTATTCAGTAGCACGAAGTCCGCGCTGGAGATGGCAACATCGGCACCGGAGCCAATTGCTACGCCTACGTCCGCTGTCGTCAGTGCCGGCGCGTCATTGATGCCATCACCCACCATGGCGATGAATGCGCGGCGGTCCGTGAGCTCGACGTCTCCTCTGCGGGCCTTAAGTGTAGACTGTAGCCACTTGATCTTCTCATGTTTTTCTGCGGGGAGGACTTCGGCGATGACGTTGGATTCGGGGATACCCATGCGTAGCGCGACGGCCCTGGCTGTAATGATGTTGTCCCCCGAAAGCATCCACACATCCGTACCCCTCGATTTTAGAGCCTGAAGCACAGCAGAGGCTTCGGGCCGTATTGGATCGGAGATTGCGAGGGCAGCTGCGATTTGATATAAACCTGGCGTGTTAGGGGTCTCGACAGCTACGAGTGCAACTGATTTAGCCTCTGATTTCCAGGTCTGAAGGCTCGTAGCAACATCGAGTGGGATATTAACTGCAAAATCACGCATAAGTGACTCGTTGCCGACAATAATTCTGAAGGGCAATGATTCAACATTATAGCTCGCCTTCAGGCCCTTCCCTGGTAGCTCCTCGACATCTGAGACGTCAATACGCTCAGATGTCCTGGAGCTACAAAATGAGACAATGGCCTTTGCGATGGGATGAGTGCTATTCTCCTCTGTAGCCCGAAGTGCCGCCAGGAAAACACCCTGCTGCTTTTCGCTTACTGTTTGCCCAGGGAAGATCATATTATCCGTGATCATCGGCTCACCGCCCATAGTAAGTGTACCAGTCTTATCGAAGACGACACAATCGATTCGACTCGCTTTCTCAAAAGCCTCACCGCCGCCCTTAACGAGTATACCGTACTTCGCAGCCAGGCCACCGCCGACGAAGATCGCAGTGGGGGCAGCAAGAGCAAGGCCGCATGGGCACGCGACAACAAAGACAGCGATGGCAAACTGAAGCGAGAACACTACCCAGCCTCCTGATGATACATCGAGGAAATGCCCAGGAATCGCGCCGGATACGCCGACTGATAACCAGATAAGCCAAGTGAGGATAGCAATAAGAGTTACAAATGGGACAAAGTAAGCAGTCAATAGATCTGCTAGCTTTTCCATCGGTGCACGTTTGGTCTGACCCTCTCGGACGATGTCGACGATCTGATCAAGCATCGACTGGCCAGCACTACCGGTGATTTGAATCAAGATAGGTTTACCAACATTGATGGTACCCGCGAAAACGTTGTCATTAGCAACCTTTTTTACCAGGCGGGATTCTCCTGTTAGACTAGATTCATTAAACTCGGCCACACCACGCACGACCTTTCCATCACAAGGAGGTGAGCCTCCGTGGGGTATACGGACGAGATCACCGAATTCGAGTAGATCAGTATGGACCACCGTCTCTGTCTCCTTAGTATCTGTGACATCTTCGATAAGCACAGCGGTAGTCGGGCGAAGCTTGCCCAGGGCCTCTACCGCATCACCTGTCTTGGATTTGCTGTATGCTTCGATGAGTCGCCCCCAGAGTAAGAAGAATGTTAAGAATACAACAGAGTCGAAGTAGAAATTTTCGTCATTGATCATTTCTGGACGATCCACGGCGGCAGCAATCATCTGGCTGATTGAAGAGATGTATGCGATCGTAGTCCCTAACGATATGAGCATATTCATGCTGCCGAATCGATAAAAACGCTGGAGAATTGGTGTCTGACTTCGCCGTCTCCACAACGCCCTGATTTCCTTTACTGCACGTCGGTGAAATATATCAGCACCGTAGAAGTAGACTGGTGTTGCCATGATACAAAGGGCAAGTTGTGCTCGGCTGATCCCGGATCGCCAGGGCTCCATGAGGTACATTTTAGATGCATCAGAGTTAGATACAAGGCTCATATACACAACACCAATGATAAACGTTGGAATGACAGCGATTGTTGTGAATAGGGCACGAAGGAAGAGTTGCTTCTGATGACGTGCGTGTATCCTCTTTGAGCGCTCTTCTAACGTGGGTGGGTGATAGATTGTGGCCTTGAATGCTGGATCGCTTGCTTCGATCGCTAAGAGGATCCGTCGGATAGTGAAGCTGGGCACTACAGGGGTATAGGCTATCTTAAGAATGGGTCGTTTCCGGCTAGGTCTAGTGATAACTTCGAGGTGTTGAAGGAATCCCTTGAGACTATTCGTAGCCCGGTCAGCGCAATGGTCGCAGTAGAATCCGTCGATGCGGATCTCGACGTTTCTCTGATGCTTTGGCCTATCTTCGCCATCAATGTTAACGACTTGATCAAGTTCGGCGCCTCTTCCTGTATCTTCAATTATCTCGACGACTTGATTGGCGTCTTCCTTGGTACCAATATACTCAACCACGCCACTGTGTGAAAGTAGATTGATCGTAGCCTTAGTGATCCATTGCTTCTTGTTTAGCTGTGAGCTGATGTCGTTTGCACATGTAGCACACGTCATCCCGGTGATAGCCATAGAAGCTCTCCATCTTCGTCCCTCATTGGATGGCTGGGGTTTGTCATCGTCCTCGACCGCGAGTGATTTGGTTGCTGTGATCACTTCTCGAACCGACTTCTCATCGCCTCTTTTCCGATCTCTTGACAGATCATCGGCTTTTTCCGATACTGTGCCACAGCATATTGTATTGGATGTATTAGGCCTCGGCCCGTTAGTTCGACATAGTTCACAGTTATTGAGATGTTCTCTTTCCTTCTCTGCCTCTGCAATCGATGTATGCCCATGTGCAAGTTTGCTTGGCAGTTTGAAGATTCGACCTAGCGGGCTGTCTCGTAGGCTGATATCTGGCGAAGTCGGGGCTACTGAGGGGCCGGGAATGTTAGATGGATCTCCATGTAGCAAGTTGGCCAGAGTTTCTTCGCCATTGGTTGAGGCTACACTAGAGACCTCAAACCCCGAAGACTCCAATTTCGACGCCATCTCGGTGATAGACGCTTTGGGGTCGTGCTCTACTGCGACCCACGAGGTAACGACGTTGGGCGACACCCAACGGATACCAGGGAGGCGTTCCAAGACATCTTTTATAGAGGATACGCACGTGGGACAATGTAGATTGGCCAGTAAGAAATTTGTGGTGACGGTCTGATCTGGGGTA